TGTCACCTCCGTCAGATGTGTCACCTCCATCAGTTCTGTCACCTCCGTCAGTTGAATATTTTGATAATATTTCATTATGATATTTTATACTTGTTGTGGAATTGTCGGTCACATGTGAAAGTGTAATCTGTCTGCTAACACCAGAATGGGTTTTGAAATGTTAAAAACATCTTGAATGCTGTTAAAGATAAAGCTGAAATTATATTACACAGTCCAAGGCAAAAAAGCACATTTTGTTAAAAAAGAGAAAAGTTGGGAGGTTGTATCAAAGCATAGCTCAGTAGCTTAATACATATAAGATACATAAATGTAGTTTCATTTGTCTGAGTACAAGGTTTTATTTTTTCAATTTTGCACCCTGTTGTGACCCACTTCTCAAGAATGACTCAGCTGCAGCTGACTTTCCTGATGTAGGATCTTTAGAACCATCTGTGAAGATATGGAGCATTGAAGAGTAATTTTGATCTAGATATTGTTGAACAACAACCTCCTTAGATAACGTTTTAGCAACGCGCCTTTTCATTGGCTACAATAATAATAAAAAAACACTCCACCACACCAGATAGCCAGATCGCTGTAAAACGTTTCAGAAATCTCACAGGCTGGTATTATTTGAAGGAAATCAAGTATGGACTTCAAAGAGGTGTTTGTGAAAAACTTGGACCAATATCGGGAAATAGCATTATGCGCTGCAGGCACAGCAGTTGCTCTGCTTGGACTCGGTCTCGTATATAAATATACTCGTCCACAGAAGAAGTTCACTTGAGTGGGAGTCGCTACCCAGCTGCTGCTTCATCCTATGAAGTCTGGGAAAGCAGTGTTGGTGGAGACAGCAGAATGTCTGCGAATGGGGCTGAAATATGGCGAACTGCGGGATCGGTGAGTTTTTGAACGCAAATATACCAGTGCACGCTAATCATTTTACTTTCTTTTTTTCTGTAGTTATGTGACGCACCACAGTTTGTGAATTCCGTCTCGTGCAAACGTATTTTGGAGCCCCTAATGCAGGTAGCCAATATGTCTTAAATCGTTTTTACACGTTTTTGTTTTGTCTTATAAAATGTAAATGTGAAATAACACTATGAAAATGGCAGTATTTATATTCTGATGAAATACCGTCTGATAAAGTTGCTAACGGAAAGCGCTCGAGCGGTCTGTTGCTGCTAGTTTATGTATTAGCGCTCTGATAACTTTTGTGGCTACTTTGAAAACTCAAAAAATATAAGTACTTGTATTTAACAGAATACGCACTATTGTCTGTCTTTGTTTTGACATTCTTTGGACGGGTACAAGCTAGTAAAGGTATGAGGTTTTTACGGTACGATAATCGTCTCGGAAAATATCACGGTTTGACGGTTATCACGGTATATATTAAACAATAATTCGTATCAGTAACAATGACTCTTAAAAGAACAAGTTATTTGAGTGAACAAATCCTTTACTACAACAAGCTTGAAACCATTTTAATGAAAGTATTGAAGTCTCCCTTCTGAAAAAATAAAAAAAATAAAAAAAACAATAAAAAAATTGTTTTAAAATGTTTTTAAATGAAAATTTACAACAACTTTTATTTTTGGCAAAGTTAAAACATGGACAAACATGATATTCCTTGAAAACAATGTTTAAATAAATTTGATTGGATTTGATTGTTGATGATTTGGCATGATCTTGGATTGTTTGGTTCTTCGAAGCTCATCCCGGAGTTGCTGTCATAGCAACAGGTCCGTAAGCTTAAACCTGCTCGGGAGCAGGCTTATTTCATGTAAACAGGATTAGATTGCAGATTTGATACTTAAAATCTGTCCCAGCCACCGCTACATTATTACAAGAGTATCCTACTGATCCAGGGACAATAATTTGAAATAATAGTCATTAAAAAAATTATTTGAAGATAATATAATAAAGTTGTGTAGTCTTTAATGCTATAGACACAGACAGTTTTACTCACTGAAATATTTATTCATTATAAAATAATTGCTTCATAATTGTATTCGAGTCTTACACACGCTATACAGATAATGTAGAGTCGTGCATTAATTTGAGTGATGACAGCTATTATGGGAGTGGCTTGATGGAGCGCAGAGATGCAGATAACATGATCTTGACCCTTAAGAAACTTTAATTAATGCTGTCACGTAACAAATCTGTTCAAATATAAAATTAAATGAATTGCTAATTACTACATTGAAATAAAAATGTAAAGCCTGTACAAATATTAGAAATCGTGAATATAAATAATTGTATTAATTGGGAATCATGTAAAAAAATTTAATTAAATAAAAACAGTGCACATTTCGTTTATCTATTATAATATTTATGTAGTTTTGTTCGTTTGGCTGTTTCCTTATAAAAGTCCAGAAATTGGTCACGTTTTTCGTCAGGTGTCTTTTTTAATTATATGATGTTATTACGTTGCTGTCTTGCCGCCAGCCAATCACTGCATTGCTGATTGTGGTTTAGAGTATCGATACATAACCCCTTTTAAACCAGCCCATGAACGTGCAATTATCTCCGATAACTCAATCCAGCCATACTAATCATCAACAACATGTGCGTTCGAAGAACCGAATTAGCCAGATCCTGATTAGCGCGATGATATCATCTTGGATGTGACATTTCATCTCGGATGTAATAAGCGACGTACGAAGAACGGGCCCCAGCTCTGCTGATGTTCATGTTTGTATCTTAGATGCTGAAAACACCATTTATGTATGCATACTTCAGTATGCAGTAGATAAAACGGCGCCACTCAGAGACATGCAGAAACAAGCAGATTATTCATATAGCAGTCTCTTTGCGCTCTAATATTCACAGCTGGGCCGTCCTTAGCTGACGCGGGGCCCGGTGTGAGGTAGGGAGCGGGGCCCCCCTCGGTGCGTTCGCAATCGCGTTTCAAATCACAATCGTGCAAATATGTAACTGCTGCCCCCTCAAGCGCGGGGCCCGGTGCGACCGCACCAGTTGCACCCCCCTAAGGACGGCCCTGATTCACTGACATACAGTGGGTACGGAAAGTATTCAGACCCCCTTAAATTTTTCACTCTTTGTTATATTGCAGCCATTTGCTAAAATCATTTAAGTTAATTTTTTTCCTCATTAATGTACACACAGCACCCCATATTGACAGAAAAACACAGAATTGTTGACATTTTTGCAGATTTATTAAAAAAGAAAAACTGAAATATCACATGGTCCTAAGTATTCAGACCCTTTGCTCAGTATTTAGTAGAAGCACCCTTTTGATCGAATACAGCCATGAGTCTTTTTGGGAAAGACCCAACAAGTATGATGAAAAAAAATTAACTTAAATGATTTTAGAAAAATGGCTGCAAAATAACAAAGAGTGAAAAATTTAAGGGGGTCTGAATACTTTCCGTACCCACTGTATATGATAACTACTTTCGATTTATCCATCCATCCGATTGCGTGTTTTACGTGACATCCTCGTTATACTGTAAATTCCATGTTCATGACTGCACCGGGATTGCCTCTGCTTCACGGAAATCATACAGCCTTAACTTATAATTTATTAATGCGACATACCTGTATCTGCACGGAGGGATGGTGTCCACGAATATGAGCGAAGATTTTGGATGTATTGCCTGCTTTTGCAGCCACTTTGCATCCACATTTTTTGCAAATTGGGTCCGTCCTCAAGGACAACCCCGTGTTGATGTTTTTTTAAATATCCAAAGTATTCCCATACTGCAGATATTAACTTTTTTTTCGGCGGGGATGGAGATTAGATATGATCTCTGTCTCTGTCATTTTCTCCGCTGCAGGTGCGTGTAATGTTAAGCAGCCAAGTGAATGCAGAGTGAAGCAGCCGAGCGGAAATAAGTTGCACGTGTGTGGGTGAAATTTTTTTTTTATTAATTAAAAAAAAAAAACGTAGATATGCAAATGTTTACGGTATGATAATCGTGCACGTTCAAACCGTGATCAACCGTCATACCGGTATATCGTTACAACCCTAGTACAAGCCTTATTTGGAGGGGTCAGATGCCCTTTAAACCCCCATAATTTGCGCCATGTAGTCGTAGGCCTAACTTTTTTACAGCCTATGTACATTACAGATTAACATGGACAGTTATTTTTATTAGCTGTAGAGTAGGGTTGTGACGGTGAGTAAATTTTCCCACCGGTTAATCGACGTGTGTCAACACCGGTATCACCGCCGGGGCGGGGGCAGGGGCGTTCCCTCTTTTCCTCGCTTTCCTTCGCTTTTAAATAGCTTGTAAAAGCGCCGTGCACATTTACTTTCACTTTCAAATGGTGGCAATTCGGAGTAAAGCAATTGTTCGTTTTTAGTTCGTTTGAATTTTCCCTCTTTTCCTCGCTTCGAATTAGCGGCAGTTAGGCGTCAATTGCTTGAATGCAACAACAAAATACAACGTCAAACTCACTTTAGCGTATATATAAAACATAGAACTTTTATTAACAAAACAAATAAAAATACACCATGCTATAGGGCAGGCTATACCTAATATAAAATAACAAATAACTTACATAAAGTTTAATAGGTATACAAAACTGGAAACAAGTAAACATGCATAATATATAACCAAATAAATAAGAAACGTAGAACGTTTATTAGCAAAATTAGTAAGTAAGCTTGGAGGCACGGCATACACCTTGATGTCAAATAAAATAAATTGCACAAAGTTTAAATAAAGTAAAAATCAGCAAACAATGTGGAACCAATTAAATAAGAAACGAATGTTTAAAAAAACTTCCAAAATCACATTAGATAAACGACAAAAGTCAACAGGCTTTTCAAAATCCAAAATATTGCCAAACGGGCGCTTTTGCATTTTGTTTAGAAACTAAATCATCGGCGATCGTCTTGTCTGTCTCACCTCGCTCTTCTTGTCAGTCAGCTCGACTCAATCGCCTCACTGGAGAAATTAAATCTGATCTGTGATGCGACTGTCGTTTAACTGCATTGAGCAGCCGCATTCAGTTTTTAATTGTAGTGTCTGTTCTTTTACTGAACTAAATTATTTTTATTACTATAAAAAATCAAAACGATGGTGGGGGTCAGTGACGCGGTGGGCAAGTGACGTAACCGGTGTTGTGGCTTAACACCGGTATCACCCTCTGCACCGTCTATTGCGGCAAGTCTACTGTAGCGTTAATTCTACAGAGAGTTTGTTACAGACACTGGCTGGTGATCACGGAGGACGGCCGCATGGTGACGGGCAGACAGCAGCCTCGTCTGGTGTTGGTGTCTTTGACCTGTGAAGGTGGCCAGCTGTGTCTCAATGGACCCCAGATGGAGGAGTTGAGGGTTCCTCTTCACCAGCCCAATAATGCAGTTGTGGACTGCAGGTACTTAAGTTTTACATAAAGTTGCCCTGTAAGTATTTATATTTACATTATAATGTATGAATTTCACTGCATAGTATAACTGGCCTCAGTGTGATTATAGTGGATGTATGAAGCACTGCTATTTTGATTATTATTACTATTTATTATTTATATTTCTATATTATTATTATTAATAATTTTTTTATTTTAGCATTTTTTTATGTGCTTTTGTCATAGTGTAACTGGCTTCAGCGTGATTATAGTGGATATATGAAGCAGTGTTATTTTGCTCTTATTATTATTTATATATATTATAGTGTTTATTCATGTTTTTAATTAGTTAAAAAATAATAATTTCAGTTTTCGCTTTACATATTTGTATTTTTATGTGCTTTTGTCATGTTTTACTAGTTTTCATATATTTATTTAGATTACTTTTTTTTATTACAGTTTTATTTTGAGTCATTTTAGTACTTTGAATTAAACTTATTTTAAGGTCATTATCAAAGCAACATTTCTATTTTTAAATTTTTACATTTAATTCAATTCTACATTTTCTTTTAGTTTAGTATGTAGTTTTTAAACAGTACTCTTATGAATTCAGTTCTCTTCAGGTTCAAACAGGGGTCTAATCAGAGTTCATCATCACATTAACTGTGCACATGTTCCACTAATCAGAATGTGTCCAAATATTTTTGTATTCAATTTTAACTATATATATATATATATATATATGTGTTGTTTTATAATCTGACACACTCATAAAAAAATTTGTCTTTGCTAACTTTCTTTAAACTACATTCCACTAGTATGGTATTTTGTGATGTAACAGAGTGGCATTCATTTTTTAAGTGTGGCCATAATTACCTTTTTTGAGTGAAATTGAAGTGGCATGCTGACAATTGAAAATAAATTTGCTTGTGTGCCTAGAGTCTTTAGTGTAGACGTTCAGGGCAAGGACTGTGGGGACGATGTGTCTAACTGGCTTACTCGATACCTGGAATCAGACAACACCGTTCGTCTGGTGCATTTTGAACCTCATCTGAAGGCCCAAAGGCCTTTTGAGAAAGAGCACCTCTTTCCTAAGGATGAAAAGGTTTGATGGAGAGCACTGTACATGTCGCATACTACAAATAAAGGTTTAAAAAGTAAAGACATTTAACCACAAAATGATCTCGACACGAGAGTAATTTATTTTTAATATATATATTTTAATATATATGTTATATATATTAAAATATATACAGTGGGTACGGAAAGTATTCAGACCCCCTTAAAATGTTTCTACCTCATTTTAAAATGTTAAAATTCAGTACTTTCTTGCAATATAAACTATTTTTTTCAGTCTTCTAGCTTTTTAGCTTTGTCAAATGTCTCAAAAATCAGTGACCCAATAATACACAAAACCAACACGATTTAGGAAATATTGTGAATCACAATTGTAGTAAATGGCCATCATGACTTTAAAGAAGAGATCTAATGTCTCCTGTGACTTTCTTAGTGTTTCTTCTTATCCGTCACTGCCATTATCTAATCTGATATTTCACAATATTTCAGGTGGCCTATCCTGATGCTGCCCCCATCATGCTAATGTCAGAGGCCTCTGTTAGGGACCTGAATACCCGATTGGATAAGGATGTTACTGTCTTTCAATTTCGTCCCAGTATTGTTGTCAGTGACTGTGAGGCCTTCACCGAGGTATAACGAAATATAATACAGTATTATGCAATGTAAGGGGTGTTGTAAAATAAAACTCTGTTATTCCTTAACTAGGACACATGGGATCATATACAGATTGGCCAAGTGGAATTGAAGAGAGTTGTTGGTTGTGGAAGGTAAGGTAGAATATACACTGTTCTCTAATAAAATTTTTATTCATGTAAAATAATTAATTCTGTGCATTAATATTCAGATGCCTATTTACCACTGTTGACCCTGAGACTGGAATCATCACCCGGAAAGAACCACTGGACACTCTCAAAACGTAAGCGCACATGCACACAGGTTTATGGCTTTTCAGTCAAACATTTTCTTCTTGTACTACTTGCCAAAGAACTTGGCTTGTTTTTCTTTTGTTAATCAGTTACATGTTATCAGGCATGTTAAACTTAAAGCTGTTCATTATTACAGAATCTGTAAAAGAATCATATTATACAGCAGTAGAATAGTTTGTAGAGCACCTTATTAAATTAATGATGCACCAAAAAGAAAAGTCTGGGCATAATATTTAATTAAATTGCATATATATACTGTATGTATATATATATATATATATATATATATATTTTTAAATAAAAAAAATAGTATTGTTTACGGTTGTGCAAGAAATCTTATCACATAAGAAGCACTTGCACTGTGCGCATAGGTTAATTTCATAATATCATGTTGTCATCAAAAGTTTTTATCACTTTTTTTTTTTTTACTTTATAGTTATCGACTGACTGACCCGAAGCAGAAAACTGCGCCAATATTGGGACAGTACTACACTGTCAAGAAAACAGGTGTCCTTCATGTGGGGGAACCTGTCTGTAAGATCAGCTATTAAATAGCCAGACAGGATGGAATGCAGAACCTTATATCAAAAATCTAGTGACTAATTTGTAAGCTGACATGCCACTGCTTACTACACAGTTTCTAAAGTTAGACTGAATCAGTATTCTATTCATAAATGTTCCTTGAATAAGAAAAATTAAATTATATATAGATTGTTTTGTAAAATGTTCTATATTTGCTGTAGAATTATGGTTGGAATAGATGAAATGTCTTACAGATTCCAAAACCGTTAGGTTTTAGCACTGTTAAAGGATAGCTTAAAATTGTCATTATATACTTCAAACTGTTATTTTTTTGTGGAATACAAAATCTTTTTTTGTATTCCTCAAAACAACACCACAAGGGTGAGTAAATGACCATTTTCGGTTTTGAGTGAACTAATTCTTTAATGTGAAATGAGAAGATGTGAATTCTGTGATCTGTATTCTATATTTTAGGCACCTCAAAATTACCAATACATTGAGAAGATAATTATGTTTTATTGTAGTAATGGTCTGGTTTGTAACCGCTCAAATGTAACTGCTCAAATCAGTACCTTAGAGTCTTTGACTCTAAAATGACATATTATAGTGATTCCAACTATTAGACACTGAACTACTGAATAGAATTACTAATACTGTGATTCTGAAAGAGACCAGTCATACTGAACATAAAGCTTTTTGAAACTTAATTGGTACTGTGTTCTTTTGGAAAACATCCAATAGATGGCGCCATTTCAAGAGTTTAATTTGTCGTGGACAACCAGTAAAACATAAACTACCCCTCTGCTTTTCTGTATTTACAGTGTTTAGTTGCTACATAGAATGCACTGTGGAAAAATAAATATGGGAAAGAATGTTTTAGTTAATTATTAATTGTTAATGAGGAGATGTTCAAGTGGTTTTCTAGGTATAGAATTCTCAAAATATTTAATTTATTAAAAATTTAGAATGCATTCTGTTTTATTATAAATTTATTATAATTATATTTATTACTATTTTATTATTTTATTTGTGTTGTCATTTGTTTATACAATTTGTTTTGTGTCAGCAAATAAGGTTTTTTTTCCCACACGTGCATTGTTCATATTAGTTAAGGCTGTCTGTGACCCAAATTCTCACAGTACCTTCTATCTTTGGTACGTCAAATTGCTCCCAGTGACTGTTTAACTTGGCACTTTATTGTTTTTCAGCTTAATAGCGTATTGCACTCAAAAATAACACATATATGTTGTTCTAAGCCTATATGACTTTTTTGTTTTCTTCTGTTAAATTCAAAAGATTGAGATTTGAAGAGTATTGGTCACCCAACTTTGGATGAAAACCGGGAGGCTTGTGTATTCTCGTTGCTTCATAACGTTACGGTTGAACCACTGATGAATGGCACTGCCACCTCTTTGCTTTCAACTAGGTCCTGTAGATCAGCTATGAATGAATGAATGATGCATTTATATAGCGCTTTATCGTGTATTGTTGTACACCCAAAGCGCTTTACAATCATGTGGGGGGGTCTCTCCTCAACCACCACCAGTGTGCAGCATCCACTTGGATGATGCGACGGCAGCCACAGGACAGCGGCGCCACCGCGCTCACCACACACCAGCTACAGGTGGAGAGGAGAGAAAGTCATAGAGCCAATCAAGGGGTTGGGGATTATTAGGAGGCCATGATTGACAAAGGCCTGATTGATAAAGAGACATGCACCGAAATGGGTAGCTGACAACCTGACAAGTTAAAAAGGAGTTGTTTTACACGACCATTGAAGAATTTAAACGAAAGTATGTTACAGACATTCCATGAAGACATGAAGAATCGTACCAACTTGTGGAAAATGGGCATGCTTCTGCTGCACTTTACTGAGATGTTTAAAAACAGCGCATCCCAATGGTGAAACATTTTATTCAATATGATATTTTTTACAATGTTCAAAAAACGAATAACAAAACTTTTACAAATGTTTTTGTTTACTTACAAGTCGTTCCACAAGTCAGCTCTGGTCGCTTGCGAGTATCTGCCATGTTGAAAAGATTCTTCTGAAAGCGCCAGTTAGAGCATGTGACGTGGATGATGTCAGTTTATGTCGCTCAGTTTGCTTACTGAATAAAAATATTACATACTTGCATACGGAATAAAAATATTCATTGAAGTACTGGTGTTTATTCAGAAATGGTTTCTTGATTTCTAAATTCCTTGTTCAGCAAATGTAATTGTTTTAAGTTTCATCAGTGTCACAGATTTTAATTGTAGTGTTCTCAGTCTTTATAAGTTCGTAGTACTGTTCGGGTTTGCAGTGACATGTCATGGGTAAGAGCTTGTTTAAAGTTTTTTAACGTTCTTCATTAATAAAATTAAAACCATCAGTGCACAATTTTCCACACCACAATCTGTCAAGCACATCTTACCAGCAAACATACACTCATTCACATCCTTCTCTTCACTCTCCGAGGCAGAAGTCTCCAAACTCATCCTTTCAAATCATCCTACTACTTGTCCGCTTGATCCTATTCCATCTTATCTCCTTGAAGCCATTTCTCCTGCAGTTGTATTTGCACTCACTCACATAATTTACACATCCCTTCATACTAGTGTTTTTCCCTCAGCATTTAGACAGGCTTGTAAAACCCCACTACTTAAGAAACCCACCCTTAACACATCTCTTTTAGAGAACTACAGACTGGTTTCCCTTCTTTCTTTCATTGCAAAAACACTTGAACGAGCTGTGTTCAACCAAGTCTCTGCCTTTCTCACACAGAACAACCTCCTCGACAGCAACCAGTCTGGTATCAGAAGTGGACATTCAACCAAGACTGCCTTGCTCTTAGTTGTTGAAGCCCTAAGACTGGCAAGAGCGGATTCCAAATCTTGAATTTCAACTTATCTTGCTGAATCGGTCTGCTGCTTTTGACACGGTTAACCACCAGATCCTCCTGTCAACCCTATTGGCAAAGGAAGCCATTTCTCCTGCAGTTGTATTTGCACTCACTCACATAATTTACACATCCCTTCATACTAGTGTTTTTCCCTCAGCATTTAGACAGGCTTGTAAAACCCCACTACTTAAGAAACCCACCCTTAACACATCTCTTTTAGAGAACTACAGACTGGTTTCCCTTCTTTCTTTCATTGCAAAAACACTTGAACGAGCTGTGTTCAACCAAGTCTCTGCCTTTCTCACACAGAACAACCTCCTTGACAGCAACCAGTCTGGTTTCAGATGTGGACATTCAACCGAGACTGCCTTGCTCTCAGTTGCTGAACCCCTAAGACTGACAAGAGCGGATTCCAAATCTTCAATACTTATCTTGCTGGATCTGTCCACTGCTTTTGACATGGTTAACCACCACTCCTTCAAAAACAGCCAGAAACCTTGGAGTTATGATTGATGATCAGCTGACATTCTCAGACCACATTGCTAAAACTTCCCGGTCCTGCAGATTTGCTTTATTCAACATCAAGAAAATCAGGCCCTTTCTTTCGGAACATGATTCACAACTCCTTGTTCAAGCTCTTGTTCTGCCCAGGATGGACTATTGCAATGCTTTCTTGGAAGGTCTTCCAGCCAGTTCTATCAAACCTTCACAATTAATCCAGAACACGGCAGCAAGATTAAAGGTGCGTTCACGCCATATCGGAATTCCTGTAATTCCAACTTGTAAAAAGCATTCACATCCTCGTAGAACTCGTAATTACAACTTGTGAACTGGGAGTTTTCTGAGAGCTACGACTTGTACCACCTGACCGCTGTACCACCTGACCACCACAGGCTCTGTATAGGCGTTGATAGTGTTGCCATAGAAAAGCATATTTCCGAATCCGAGGATGTGAACAGCTCCGAGTAGAACATCAAGTGCTGTCATCTCAAAATAATGGTAATTACGACATGGCGTGAACGCATCATAATTTTTTAAAGAGCCGAAAAGAATGCACGTCATACCTCTGTTTCAGCGCCGTGCAGAGACCTTTGGAGGGGCAGGTGCTCAAAGTATAAAAGGTGCACATGGAGCACGGCTTTTAATAGGGCTGTGCTTCTTGCTGAGACATGTATCAAAACGGATGTTTCTGTATTGATAGCAGCAAATGCTGTGACGCAGTTTTGAAAAAGAAACACAGAACAGAAAAGACCATTTTAAGTTTAAAAGTTAAATAAATATTTCTTTGCACCTTAATCACTCTGAAAATAGAAACAGAATTAAATTAGGCCTATTATTATTGAGTTTACAGGGTATGGTGGTTTTGCTGTTGTAAACACTACTACTGTTGTTGTTGTAGAAAAATATTTCTGTCTTATTTAAAATAGAATTATATTATAATCCTGTTCTGAATTTATAATTTTTTTTTAATTATAATGATGATAAAAACAGGATTGATAAGTAGCCTATAAATCGGAGGATGAGAAAATCAGTATAAGCCTGTTTTATCAGGGTTGTGATAATTATTTTTAAGGCACTCTACATTTTAAAAATAAATACTGTAATAAAAAAAGTTCAAAGTAATAGTTTTTTAGTCAGATAAAAAAGACAAGACTTTAAACTTTTCCCAATCAAACAGCAAGAACGAAAGAGAACAGGCACCTTTGTTTATATTGCTGTGTAGAACGTTAGCTGCATTTTTAATATTTAATTTTAAAGAAATGTAATTTCGTCCCCCGCACTTTATTCGGGCAGGTGTGTTCAGGTTGAGGTTTTTAGATTTAAAGGGGTCATATGATGCGTTTTCAAGTTTTCCTTTCTCTTTGGAGTGTTGCAAGCTGATTGTGCATAGATAAGATCCCTGAAGTTGCAAAGACTAAAGTCTCAAAACCAAAGAGATATTCTTTATCAAAGTTAAGACTGCCTCGCCCCCCTAAAACAGCTCGTTCTAACACGCCCCCACTTATCTGCCTCACTATGTGGAAATATTAGCATAATGCCACCCAAATGTGCACGCAAAGAAAGAAGGCGTGGTTTCAGTAACCGCAGTTAGTGTTGAAGCAGCCATGTCAGGAAGATGCTGTGTGTTTCTAGGCGAAAGCAAAAGCACTTTATTTGGTGCAGAAAGTCCAAAACAGACTCATAGAAGGAATGACTTATGCCGTGCAGGAAACCCTAATATGGACAAAAGCATCTGGCTATTGCTGTAGCTGAGCTGAATAAAAAGCAGAAAAAAATGTGAAGACAATAAACACACGATTGCGAAAATATACGGTTTATGTGTTTTTCAAGTTATCTCCAGATAATAAATCAACTTTATGAATAATGCAGTACTGATTGACATATCATTTAGTAGCCTACAGAAACTATACATTTCCTGCCTTATTCTGTGATAAAAATGGGGAAAAAGGTGCTCGTAGTAGCCTTTATAAACCGATCATAAAATTGTCATTAGGAAAATATTGAACAAAAATATTATAGCCCCTTGCTGCAGCTAACCTTACTTCCACAGGCTACAAACAGCAATATAAACAACAGCTGTGCATGCTCTCTTCACGCAGTTCTTGTATAATAATAATAATTTAATAATATAAGTATACAAGCACACCGCTCCGCTGAGAACTCCACTTACCGGCAGCCGCGGATGTTACGAAGGCATCCTGGTAGTGCTCTACATTAAAGGTGTCTGAACGTGAGGGATAGTCCCTGATGAGATCGTCAGGTGAAAGGTCATCATCATGTGGATTATTTACAACTAAATTATAATTCATTCATTTTACTAATAGTTAGATTGGGCAGGCCTTCACAAAATGGCGTTTAATTAAAAAGAAAAAAAAATTGCTTTGACAAAAGGGCTCTTTGGGCATCAAGGGGAAAGGGGCAGGTGCTCAAGCACCCATTGCACCCCCCTCTGCACGTGCCTGCTCTGTTTATCAGTTTGCACTGGCTACCAATAGGTGCTCGCATAAAATTAATTCATTAATGTTTGCCTACAAGACCACCACTGGCTCTGCGCCCTTTTACTTAAAATCCTTACTTTAGACTTGTGTGCCCTCTAGAAGCTTGCGTTCTGCAAGTGAATGTCGCTTTATTGTGCCATCCCAAAGAGGCACAAAATCACCTTCACAGACTTTTAAATTAAATGTTCCCTCCTGGTGGAATGACCTGCCCAACACAGTCCGAGCAGCTGAGTCCTTAGCCATCTTCAAGATTCGGCTAAAACACATCTCTTCCATCTTTATGTGACCCTCTAACTCTAGCACTCTCTAATCTAATTCTATTCTTAAAAAAACACTAGCTTGCTCTATTCTTTTTCTCTTCTATCTGTTTTCTTTTTATTTAATAACGTGTACGTGTACTTAAGCTAACTGAGACTTGTTATAGCACTTGCATATCATTATTCTTTGGTTGATTTTGATTGCTTCCATTGTCCTCATTTGTAAGTCTCTTTGGATAAAAGCGTCTGCTAAATGTAAATGAAAATGTTTTAGAGCTGGTGCAGGGCATTGTTGCCACCAGGGTCGGAAATGACCAGTTATTTGACTTGGTGCACAAATGACCCCTAAATTCAAGATGAGGGGGCAAAAATACCCCTGCACAATTCAATTAAATCTATTATGATTCAAGTGAATTTGAATAAAAAAAACAATGAAATTGTAAAATTACTTGTCAACTATTCCTTTAAGTCATTTTAGATAAAAGTGTCCTCTAAATCAAAATTTCTCAAACTGGGGTTCCTCAAAGTTTTTGGGGTCACTAATTTAAAGGTTTGAGAAAACCAAGTCTAAATGACTGTTTACATGCTACTTATTGGCAGTGGCCTGTATGATATTTGTTGGGGGGCATAATTTGGCAGTCCTTGTAGACATCATTTTTGAGTGTAGACAGGTGCACATTATCTGATGATGCCACAGCACATATATAGCAAACAACTTGTGTAATCTACCTTTAGATTCTTTAAGATTATCATAAAGATGAAGAAACTACAAAATATGAGTACCTCGAGAGGCAACCTAATTAAGATACGTGTTAGAACATGTGAACTTGGTGATAGAAATATAGACTAAAAAGACACGTAAGAGTAGCAACCAGGTGAAAATATTTTCTTGCGTGCTTCAGGCACTCACTGTAACCAGCCGTCACAAGCCATTGTCGTTCTGAAGACCCTTCAAATTGTGCAATACAACCCAGGGCTATACTTCCCCTGGACACAATCTGGGGGCCCCTTTTAAACCACAAAGATCTTAAGTGCAAGAGTTGCATACAAGTGAACCGCAGTGCTGTTTTTACCAGTCCTACAAATCATCACCTTTAGGCAATCTCCTAGACATCACCGGACACGATCTGGGGGCCCCATTTAAACAAATATCTCAAGGTACAAGAATTGCATAGAAGTGAACCTCACTGATCTTTTCATCAGTCCGACAAATCATCACCTTTAGGCAATCTCCAAGACAAGTGCTTAGGTCTTCTGTCAAACATATGTCGTGCGGTGGCTTTTTGAAACCTAGTTATTAGTTGCTGCTTGCCGTGAATACAAATAATCTAGTTCCAGCATGTCCTCAGAAGCATTCGTAATGGTATGCCCATAACCTGTGCTTTAATTACAGGATACAGTAAAGCTCTGTACGTGAGAATATAGACCTTTAATGTTTTTTAACATTGTTTGTGATCCTCGTTTTGCAGTTATGATTATCATCAGCATCCCAGTGTAGTTGAAAATGACACAATCTATAAAAAGTTTATAGTCTATATACATTATGAATAGCATAAAATTTGAGAGCAGCTTTCAATATGTATAACATACTGTATATAGGATAGGCATTACAGGTATAAATCATGATTATTTATTTTAAGTATTTCCCTACTTTACTTCAATCAGCAACAAACTTTTGGCCAAACTTTAAAAAAAATTACCAAAGTAATAACCAGTATAGAAAGAATATAATATCAAATGTAATATAAGCATTGGGTAGCTTTAGGCTTTTCAAGCACTTTGATGTCAAGGACACAAATATGAGTCCCTATTAGGGACTCCTTCTTAAAATACACGGTACTTCTTTTAAAGGCAACTTACATTTTTTTTAATATAGTATATCATATTAGATAGAAACTTCCAATTTCACCTCAAATACTTCAGTGCCATTCAATTCTTAATCACCTTCATCTTATACATGCAAGACTTTTTTTTTATTGTACAAAAACTGCAAATACAGTATTTAGGCAAATATGTGCATTTATATAAACCCTTCTTAAAATACACGGTACTTCTTTTAAAGGCAACTTAAATTTTTTTTTTTATATAGTATATCATATTAGATAGAAACTTCCAATTTCACCTCAAATACTTCAGTGCCATTCAATTCTTAATCACAAGACTTTTTTTTATTGTACAAAAACTGCAAATACAGTATTTAGGCAAATATGTGCATTTATATAAAATTGCTGATACCAAATATGTAAGATGCATAGTTCAGATTGTCCATGGAATGCATGGCTTCTGCTTTCATGCTGTGATGAAGCTTACCTGCATGCAAAATAAAGAAGAGCCTGTTGGCTGAAAATGATAAGGATCCTGAATGGACCTTGGGCTTTGTCACATCTTTTGGTTTTGTTGGTTTGAGAGGTTTAGTTTTCTTTTTTTCCGGGGCTCCTTTTATGGACAGTTTGGGATTGTGAGATGGCTTTCCTGTGGCTTGTTTGTCCTTCTTGGTATGTAACAATGACTTCTTGTTAGGAGGAACCTTCTTTAGTGTTTTTGTGCTCGTGTTTATTTGCTTCTCCTTTGCCTGAGTCGTCGTCTTTGACTTTTCTTGGTTCAACTTTGCTGTAGTGGTTTTGGCCAGAATTTTTTTCTTTGGTGCAGATGTGGTGGGTTTGGCCCTTGTGGGCTGGCGTGTGCCTGGTGGTTTAGTGGGGAGTAAGATCTTTTCCAGTGGTGATCTTGTAGGGGTTTCACTTATGCCAAGCACAGTCACTTAAAAAAATTATATATATATGTTTATGAGTCTTCGAGCAATTCTGTTACATAATGCAATTGATTTTCTTTGGTAATCTTAAAATATAATAATAAAATAAATAATAGAAAAAAATTGAAAATTCCACAAACAAGAAACCGCAAGTAACATTGAATTAAATGTGAACTTTTGAAATAGATAAACTGAAGTACTATTTTCTTCTAAAATGTACTCCAGTGTTTTTTTTTACAGTGTAAACAACGCCAATACTTTTTTAGGATGTAAAATATTCTTACATTCTCGCGGTGTGAATGGCACTTTCTTCCCTCTGACCTTTACAGGAAGTGGCTTGTATTTGCATTTTCCTGGAGGTGCCCTCCTGTAAATAGAGACAAACAGAGGAAATAACTTCATTAACCTTAACAATGTAGGACTCCTTTAGTGCCGTGAGGTAAAAAAGAAATTTAAAATGGCATCATAATTATTTCAACATAAATGTATATGGATCAAAGATGTTAAGATATCCGGATCAAAAGAAATCTACAAACGTGATTATATGTCCATAGAAAGCACATTAAATGTAAGTAAAGTGTCGACTTTTAAGGATTCAAATACGTTTTTGGAGAATAAAAGTTCCATTGTCATTCGGTGTAACACAATATTTATGTAAAAATTCAAACAACGTGCTTATTCTGACGTGTACATATTAAAATATATAAAAGAATAAGGGAGCATATGAAATTTTATTGTCTTTTAAATGAGTAAAAATTCTTACTGACAAATGGGCAAAACCTAGGATAGTGGCAAATTTTAAAAATGTAAAATTACGACTAATTAGTATTTGGGGTGAAAGTAATTAGTATTTTAATATGTCATAAACTGATTTTTGTTGTAAATATGCCTGACAAGATTGTTACACTGAATTACATTTTAGTGGGTCTCTTCTGTAAATCAGGGGAAAAATTTATGATATTTATTTTTTGCCTGGAAAAACAAGAACAAAATTGCAATTAAATTAAACAGAAAACTTTTAAAAAATTTTGGGGAAAACAACAACAATTTAAAGCAGTATTACACTTGTTGTTTTTATGCTTAAACCCTTTTTCGTCTTTGACCCATATACAAGGCTGTGTGTGTTTGTGAGGGCAATGACCTTCTACTGCTCCTATTAGTAGTGAATCTCTGTTTTTTTTTTCCACGTGGCTATTTAAGGAGGGATAAAGAATACAGAACAGCTGGGACTAATGTATGGTATTTCTATTAGTGAGTGATTTCAGATGCGCTGATAATCTCCCGTAGTCTTGCTGCTTCCAGCAGGATGGCTCTTGATTTCTCCATTGGTTAATTGTTTAAAACATCAAAAAGATCATGTTTGGTTCTTTATATTATTTCAGTCTCTATTTAAGTCATTTATTCATCCTTTACTAGATTTAACATATTTTAAAGGCACTGTAATAAAATAAAAATAGTAAAATCGACATTTCAATATATCAGACCCCCTATCTCACAGAATAACATGAACAAATCATTGAGTTATTACTGATAAGTATTTATGATCTGTGGTAGATAGCAGATTTCCAGAAGTCTGGATGGAAACCATTTGGTGGAAGCATGTGCAACAGATTCCAAGATTCCAAAGGAATATAGACAGCATGACACGTCCTGTAGTCCTTCTCCCAGCATGATGTCTTAACTGAGACTTATCCGTTACATTTTTACTCTTTCTTTTTTTTTTTTTTTTTTATGGGGAATTTTCCCATCATTGGTTATACAGTATAGACAGATTAGGCAAAGAAAAATGCTGTCATCATTTTTACTGTACTGCACGTGTGTGCATTTTAAGACTGTTTGAGTAAAAATGTATCCAAGTGTAGCAAAATATACCTACCTGGATGGATCCATGAATTTGTAAAGCGTGCCAAACGGAGACATTGCACTTGGGTAGGAGGTCGCCAAAAAATAAAGTTCTCCTTAAGGGAAAAAAATAATATATATATATATATATATACACACATAGTATGAATATTTTTCAGCCACAATTGCATTAATATGTATATTGTGCCTTATATTGTACTGTGCACAAACCCACCCGCTTCATCCTCTGCAAATGAGATGATGAACTTGTGGTGATGATTTATAAGGCCAGGAAAAGAGCAGGTTTTAGTGTCACCCATGCACACATTCTTTTCCTTCCAACTCCCAGATTTCTTAACCTCCTCCAGAGCCATTAATCGTCTGAATAGGAACAAAAGCTTGAATTGTCAATGCTCCCAGACATATTTTAAGAAAAAAAGTAGACCGATTGACCTAAAAATGACTCTCATGAGCTGTAAATTTTATAGCTCTAATTGAGAGTTGATTGTGCATGAAAGACAGTTAGGTTTAGTTGTTAAAAAATGAAAGAGAGTTGAGCCTTACCCGCTCATAAAGTCTCCAAAAATATAAAGACCATTGAGGTTGGGTGATTCGCATCCTCTGTACACGTAACCTCCAGTTACGGATTTCCCAACATGGTGTCCATAGGCAAATATTGGCAGAATGTCATCTATAAAAACAAAAAATGTTTTTGTGTAATTAAAACTATGTGTAAAGAAATTAGAGTTTGTTCATTACATACTTAAAGTTAAGCAGTTACTTTACATTACATCCTAAAAAGAACCGTCGGTTATTAGTTTCTCACCCCTTGTGTTGCTTTGATCCTAAATTATTCTCTTTCTTTAATTAAAATTAATTTAAAAATACATTAAAAAAACGTTTTTTTATGAATCCAGAATGTCCAACCTACTTTCTACATATTAAGATACTGCCAAGCTCTAAAAAGGTCAATAATCATAAATTTGATCCATGTAACTTCTGCATTATATTTCCAAGTCTTACTGTAGCTTTACTCTATCTTTGTCTGAGGAACAGACAAAAATTTAAGCCATTATTTCACTGAATTTACATTTTCATTGACATTTAGTCATTTAGCAGACACGTTTATCCAAAGCGACTGACAAATGAGGAATATGGAAGCAATCAAAAACAACAAAAGAGCAATGATACGCAAATGCTATAACAGTTAGCTTAGCTTAACGCAGTAGACATAGCAAGGATTAAAAAAAAAAAAATTATATAGTAAATAAAAAGGAAAAAGAATAGCGCAAGCTAGCTTTAGAGGCCTTCGTTTTTTTTATTTTATTTTTATTTTTTTAGGATCATTGCATTGTCACCAAACGTCATTGTTTCTTGTGTGTCATGTGACCAATTGCAATTTAGCTAGATTGAAAAATGCTAAATTAAATAAGATCAGAGAGCTATGCAGGGGAAAAGATTATAAATGTGTGTATACATTTTCTCAAACAAGTCTATCATAGGAATTAAGAAGACTTGAAATCAGGAATGTATTAAAATTCAAAATCCCTTTTTTTATTATGTTTTTTTTTCTCATTTGGGAGTTTGGCAGTGTAAATCATCAACTTTTCTTATATGGAAAACACAAGCTGCTCAAAAATGACATGGGAGTAAATAATGAATTTTTTAAAGTAAGTATTCATTCAAGATCATTTGAAATGCTCAGAATGAATCTCTAGAAATCAGGAGCACAAAATGATTGACTGGCCAGTGGTATGAAGTTCTCCAGTGACCAGTTTCATTTAGCAGTAAAAATTTCTGGAATGCACCATTTGATCTGTCATTTTCTCTGACCCAAACGTGTGTGTGTCATTATTCTACGGTCCAGCTCACCTAGAGAAGAGTTCTGGCATAATTTCATATCAAAGCATTCAAAGCCTTCTTTGGCTCTCCATCCATAGTTTCCTCCCTTCACAATGATGTCAACCTCCTCATATCGATTTTGACCCACATCACCGCAGAATATTCTCCCTCTCCCGTAACCAGTGAGTGGATCCCCTCGATCCACTGAGCAGCGCCACACATTCCTCACACCAAAGGCATAGACCTCTGGCTTTGCATCAGGCTCTCCGAGAAAGGGATTGTCTGGAGGAATCTTATAGGGCTTCCCATCTATACTGCTACCATCCACATCAATCCGAAGCACTTTTCCTAACAATGCTGATCTGAAACATATTTGCATAGCAGGTAAAGCTTTTGTGATAAAAGTGTCTAAGAGGGAGTTATTGGAGTTTTATCAAAGCACTATGCATGATTTGTGACACTCATACTTTTAATTCTACACCAATTATTATAAAATGTTCCCACTTTGACAGTTTAAAAACTGTCCTTACCTGTTTTGGGAATTTCCAAACTTTCCAAAAGGGTCTCCTGCTTTTCCACCGTCCCCTGTAAAGATGTACAGATATCCGTCTAGACCAAACAGAAGCTGCCCACCATTATGGTTTGCTGCAGGCTCCTCAATCTCAAGAAGAACTCTATAGAAACAGATTTGTTTACAACATTTAAGAAAAAATTGAGAAGGAAACACATAAAATAGTCTACTATTCAAAACCATAAAAGCACCATTAAAAAGTCTGTACCACAATAACCAAAATGTTCTGAAGTAAAATGATGGCTTTGTGTTAAGAACAGTCGGTTTTCTCTTAAATCAACTACGGCGTGAGTTTGGACTTCAGTAACATTTGGTCATGAGACTCGAAAGAACCAATGAGGTTTAATAATGTCATTAAAGCCTTCTACACACTGCACGATTTTAGCCATCCTATAAGATCAATGCAGATCACACTGTGTGACATGGATCTAATATACTTGGGTAGAAACATACATGTAGACTGTATGATGATGTTCCTATGGAAGAATAAAATGTCATCAGCATGCGCTAGCTGTAAACAAAGAGTATGATGAATCACACTTTGGAAGTTGTTTTTATGTGTGCAGAAAAAAAGTGTAAGCAGCAAAAGAGGAAGGGATAAGAGCTTGAGGTAAGCAGTTTTATGTTTTAGCGTCATGTCGCGTTGATTTCATGTCTCATTTTTATTGGCTGGTCAGTAAACGTGGGTCGTAGCAGCAAACACTGTGCGATGATCATGCTGAATTTCTGACACTGTCAGAAAATTATCGCAGGCTATCTTTGGTCACAAAACTGTGACAACGGCCGTCTTTGAACCTCTCTCACTGTACGACACAAGACCACCGATTAGGAGCTACAATCACAGAAATTGCCACGATTGTTTCACAATGCCAATCTTTTGTCTGGGACAGCCGAAAATCGTGCCGTGTGTCTCAGGTTTTACGTGCAGCTTGACATGACATATCCTGAAATCTAAAGCATTTTTGGGACTTGACCGACACGTTGACAATTAAATTTTTACGCAATTTTAAGACGCAAGAAGATTTTTTGTTTCACAGAAAAAATAACAATGTGCGCATATGGAACAATTCAGGGTGAGAAGATAAGAGATTTTTCATTCTTAGGTGAACTGTTTCTTTAACATGTATTTAAAAATACATTAAAAAAACGTTTTTTTATGAATCCAGAATGTCCAACCTACTTTCTACATATTAAGATACTGCCAAGCTCTAAAAAGGTCAATAATCATAAATTTGATCCATGTAACTTCTGCATTATATTTCCAAGTCTTACTGTAGCTTTACTCTATCTTTGTCTGAGGAACAGACAAAAATTTAAGCCATTATTTCACTGAATTTACATTTTCATTGACATTTAGTCATTTAGCAGACACGTTTATCCAAAGCGACTGACAAATGAGGAATATGGAAGCAATCAAAAACAACAAAAGAGCAATGATACGCAAATGCTATAACAGTTAGCTTAGCTTAACGCAGTAGACATAGCAAGGATTTAAAAAAAAAAATTATATAGTAAATAAAAAGGAAAAAGAATAGCGCAAGCTAGCGTTAGAGGCCTTCGTTTTTTTTATTTTATTTTTTTAGGATCATTGCATTGTCACCAAACGTCATTGTTTCTTGTGTGTCATGTGACCAATTGCAATTTAGCTAGATTGAAAAATGCTAAATTAAATAAGATCAGAGAGCTATGCAGGGGAAAAGATTATAAATGTGTGTATACATTTTCTCAAACAAGTCTATCATAGGAATTAAGAAGACTTGAAATCAGGAATGTATTAAAATTCAAAATCCCTTTTTTTATTATGTTTTTTTTTCTCATTTGGGAGTTTGGCAGTGTAAATCATCAACTTTTCTTATATGGAAAACACAAGCTGCTCAAAAATGACATGGGAGTAAATAATGAATTTTTTAAAGTAAGTATTCATTCAAGATCATTTGAAATGCTCAGAATGAATCTCTAGAAATCAGGAGCACAAAATGATTGACTGGCCAGTGGTATGAAGTTCTCCAGTGACCAGTTTCATTTAGCAGTAAAAATTTCTGGAATGCACCATTTGATCTGTCATTTTCTCTGACCCAAACGTGTGTGTGTCATTATTCTACGGTCCAGCTCACCTAGAGAAGAGTTCTGGCATAATTTCATATCAAAGCATTCAAAGCCTTCTTTGGCTCTCCATCCATAGTTTCCTCCCTTCACAATGATGTCAACCTCCTCATATCGATTTTGACCCACATCACCGCAGAATATTCTCCCTCTCCCGTAACCAGTGAGTGGATCCCCTCGATCCACTGAGCAGCGCCACATATTCCTCACACCATAGGCATAGACCTCTGGCTTTGCATCAGGCTCTCCGAGAAAGGGATTGTCTGGAGGAATCTTATAGGGCTTCCCATCTATACTGCTACCATCCACATCAATCCGAAGCACTTTTCCTAACAATGCTGATCTGAAACATATTTGCATAGCAGGTAAAGCTTTTGTGATAAAAGTGTCTAAGAGGGAGTTATTGGAGTTTTATCAAAGCACTATGCATGATTTGTGACACTCATACTTTTAATTCTACACCAATTATTATAAAATGTTCCCACTTTGACAGTTTAAAAACTGTCCTTACCTGTTTTGGGAATTTCCAAACTTTCCAAAAGGGTCTCCTGCTTTTCCACCGTCCCCTGTAAAGATGTACAGATATCCGTCTAGACCAAACAGAAGCTGCCCACCATTATGGTTTGCTGCAGGCTCCTCAATCTCAAGAAGAACTCTATAGAAACAGATTTGTTTACAACATTTAAGAAAAAATTGAGAAGGAAACACATAAAATAGTCTACTATTCAAAACCATAAAAGCACCATTAAAAAGTCTGTACCACAATAACCAAAATGTTCTGAAGTAAAATGATGGCTTTGTGTTAAGAACAGTCGGTTTTCTCTGAAATCAACTACGGCGTGAGTTTGGACTTCAGTAACATTTGGTCATGAGACTCGAAAGAACCAATGAGGTTTAATAATGTCATTAAAGCCTTCTACACACTGCACGATTTTAGCCATCCTATAAGATCAATGCAGATCACACTGTGTGACATGGATCTAATATACTTGGGTAGAAACATACATGTAGACTGTATGATGATGTTCCTATGGAAGAATAAAATGTCATCAGCATGCGCTAGCTGTAAACAAAGAGTATGATGAATCACACTTTGGAAGTTGTTTTTATGTGTGCAGAAAAAAAGTGTAAGCAGCAAAAGAGGAAGGGATAAGAGCTTGAGGTAAGCAGTTTTATGTTTTAGCGTCATGTCGCGTTGATTTCATGTCTCATTTTTATTGGCTGGTCAGTAAACGTGGGTCGTAGCAGCAAACACTGTGCGATGATCATGCTGAATTTCTGACACTGTCAGAAAATTATCGCAGGCTATCTTTGGTCACAAAACTGTGACAACGGCCGTCTTTGAACCTCTCTCACTGTACGACACAAGACCACCGATTAGGAGCTACAATCACAGAAATTGCCACGATTGTTTCACAATGCCAATCTTTTGTCTGGGACAGCCGAAAATCGTGCCGTGTGTCTCAGGTTTTACGTGCAGCTTGACATGACATATCCTGAAATCTAAAGCATTTTTGGGACTTGACCGACACGTTGACAATTAAATTTTTACGCAATTTTAAGACGCAAGAAGATTTTTTGTTTCACAGAAAAAATAACAATGTGCGCATATGGAACAATTCAGGGTGAGAAGATAAGAGATTTTTCATTCTTAGGTGAACTGTTTCTTTAACATGTATATTTTGACAGCACATGCACAACAACATAGATCAAACCTATTAACCTCTCTGAATGGGGGTCTGCCACGTTCATGTCATGAGCCGAGACCTTCATCTCGCTGATGCGAATTTTCTCCAGCTTGCCGCTGATCAAAATGGAGTAGTAGATGAAGAAGCGCCCATTGTTTCTGTACTTCGGATGGAAGGCGAGACCCAGGAAACCTCTTTCATCTCCCAGCCACTGTGTGGTCAACACCTCCCCGCTAATGTCCAGGAAGGGCTGCTCTAAGCGGCTGCCATCTTTCAGATACACCCATACGAAGCCAATCTGCTCTGCCACGAACATGCGGTGGCTATCATCTCCACTGTGGACCATCAGCACGGGGTTCCTCAGCCCATTGGCCACTTCCGTCAAGCACAGCTGCAGGCAGCCTTTGGTGTCCTCCACCACCTTGCCCAGATTGCTGTACAGGCCATTGTTCCTCAGGACGTTGGGGTAGCAGTAGTCCTGGTCAGCGAGGTTAATGAGGTTGCAGAAATGCGAGCGGTCCTTCTCGCACGTCTCCAGCAGGGTCCGGCTGTTGGTTAGATACTTGACCACAGAATGGCACTTGCTGTGAAATTCTGAGCAGTAAGCGAAGCACAGTCCTGGTAGGTGCCGCACTGGAGTGTACGGGTCTTCAACATCAAACAAGTGTGCGGCGTATGGAGAACATTCCTGCGAAAGAGCAATACAATTTACAATTAACTACATTAACTGGGGAAGTCGTGGCCTAATGGTTAGAGAGTCGGACTCGTAACCCAAAGGTTGCGGGTTCGAGTCTCGTACCGGCAGGGATTGTAGGTGGGGGGAGGCGCTCTCTCCCACCTTCAATACCACGACTGAGGTGCCCTTGAGCAAGGCACCGAAGCCCCAACCGCTTGCATATGATCTGCTCTGTGCTATTGTGTGTGTGCTGCAGAGATTAATGTAACTGATGCAAAACCAGTCTTCATCTCCCTAAAGAAAATCATATTTATATTGTCTGAATCATTCAGACTAGGATTGGACAACTGGAAATTTCTTTCCTGCATATATATATAGCTCCAACCCTCATTAAACTCAACTTCAAGCAATCCCCAAGACCTTGATTAGCAGGTTAAGGTGTGTTTTATTAGGGTTGGATCTAAACTCCTGCAAAGCACGAAAATAGATCTCGAGGGCCAGAGTTGCCCATCCCCACAGCAACGTATGCAGTACCGGCACTTCTATATTTTAGTCTTTAGCTTACTGGCACTTTTTTGTGTGTACCGGCACTTCTGACATGTTGCCCGTCAAAGCGTCAGTGTCTGGGTGATTAGAAATTACACTATAAATAACACTACCCAGGGTGGGTCACCTGTCATCTCGACTAATCACGTGAATGAATGCAAGTGGTGTTGGTATACCTCAGGGGCAGTGTTGCCAAGTCCTTACCTTAACACTGTTGAAGCTACCCCAATAACGTGATATTTAGCCCCTGGAATGCAAATTTTACCCAGAGAATCCTGCCAAAAAACATCTATTTTAATGCGATTTGTCATCCTCGAGTTGTGATTCGGCTAGTTTTGGGCTAGTTTTGAGTAGCAATTGGGCGGGTTTTGTTGTGAAAACTTGGCAACCTTGTGAGGCGATGGGTGGGTGGGGAAGTACCGGCACTTATTTTTTTCCACTTCAAACACTGGCTTCAGCCCTAATTAAACACATCTGAATCAGCTAATCAAGGTCTTCAGACTCACTAGAATCTTCCAGGCAAGTGTTTTGGAGCTGGTTGGAACTAAACTCAGCAGGATGTTGACCCTCCAGGAGCAGAATTGGACATTCTTGCTCTTTAGGTCTATAACTCAACTCAGACTCATATACGACTTTCTCTCAGACTCTGACTGAACCTTTTCAGATTTGGCCTGAACTCTGACTTGAATTAGCTGGTCTGGACTATACAACACTAGTTCTGACCCTGCTCCACCTGTTTGTAATTATCAAGTGTTCCTGAAGAGCTTAATTGGTTCAGGTGTGTTTAATTAGGACGGGAGCTAAACTTTCCAGGAAGGTATGACTCCCAAGTGCAGAACTGGGCACCCCTGCCCTATAATATGGATCTGGTTCATCCTTAAAGTGCCCCTATTATGCCATTTTTACAGTTCCTAATATTGTTTTGGGAGTCTCCTACAATAGGATTACATGCATGCAAGGTCAAAAAACGCTTTCGTTTTCTCAAAATATGCATTTAATATCACCTCATTTTCCAGCGATTCTCAAACAATTAGTTCGAAGCAGTTCAAAGATTCAGTCTTTCTAAACCCCTCCTTTCTGTGAGCCTGCTCTGATTGGTCAGATGGCCTAGTCTGTTATGATTGGTCTACGGCGTATAGCGGTGTCAGAAACGATACGCCTATTTCAATAGTTCTGTATTTTTAACGCTCTATAGAAAATATAAACATCTATTATTTATCAAACTTACAGGTTGTGATTCAGTGGAGCAGCTGGTCCAAATAAACAGGATACTGATCCATCTTTCAACAGCAAGCATTTTGTGAATCCCGTGTTGAACTCCCCAAGATTAGAGAAGCAGTCGTCAGTAAAATGACGTGTTTGTGGGCGGGGTCAAGTTGTTCGCGGCTGGCCAACATAGAACTAAAGACTATAGAATACCCAAGACGTGTCTCTCGTATAGTTTTGAATAGGGAAAAATGCAACGCTCAATATGGCCGCTCAATCGCAGGAAGCCCCGCCTTCTGTATGAAAGAGCCAATTGCTAATCGGTAAAGTCAGCGCATCACTGCAGCTGACGTTAGAAGTCCCGGCTGCTATAGAAACAGTCAGCGTTCTGAGATGTGTGCTTAGAACTGCACATGCACACTGGCTGATCTAGCCCAAAAAATTGGCTTTTTATAACGCTATTTGAGCAAAAGAAACAACTTTTATGATATTGTTGTCAGATTTCTCTGGTGATTTCAAATATGAAATCCAATAATAAGTTTAGTGAACAGTTTTGGAGAATTTCATGCTTCCCCATTCAAAGACATAGGAGTTGCACTTACATGCCCGAGAGGCGTTTCAAAGATGGCCGCTGAGTGACATGACTTGTCTTAAAGGGACTTTGGTAGAACATAGGCGTGCATTATGCAAATGTGTTATCCCGTGACGTGTAGCCGTAACGGAAGTGGGATTCGAATTACTAACGACTCATCCAGGCTGTACAGAGTCGATTCTTTATTTTGGGAGACAATAACTTTATTTATCGTGCACTTTCAGCTTTACAACTCTGCAGATTGTTTACATTCACATACAGCTACATTACACACTGCATGAAAGGCAATATTGGAAATGGCATAATAGGGGCGCTTTAAATGTAAGTTATTTAATCTGCCCCAGTGAAAACTACATGTAAAATCACTTCAAAATGTAACTGTACAACTTTTAAATGAGCCTGATATGCGATATCATTAATCTGCAGCACAAACACACTATATAATCTTTAGATTTGGAGTTTGTTTTTAAAAGCTCTCACATTTAATTAAATGTATGTGCAAATAAGACTGACGAGTGACTTACCACTAACAAAAGAATTGACTGTGAATTTCTGCAAATGTATTTACATCAGCGAATGACAGCTACTGAGAAAAACAGAAATCATTTAAGCAGTTACATGTATTAAAATATCATACATGTAGACTACACTCTATTCTGCTGTCAAAAGCAAACTCCTCAAAACTATTACTAAATAAATAGTTAAATAAATCCTAATTACATCCCTTACATTTTAGATATGGTATTAAGCTGTTTAATATAAGAGAGCAATGGGCATATGCAGGACAATAAGCTTATAAAATATGTTATTCAGGGCACTATTAATTGTTCAGGTTGTTGTTTAATATTATAATATAAATATGAAAGTGCAACTTCTTAGATACCTTCTAACACATTAAAAAAAACGAACTTGTTAAAGCATAAATAACAAACATATATATATATATATATATATATATATATATATATATATATA